AAAAATTTATTAAAAATATTAATTATTCATAAAAGTAAATCAGAAGAGAATTTATAGTAAATAAGCAGGCAAATTTGTCTGCGAAACCCTACAATCTAAGGGATAATGATTCATTATAACGAATCTTAAAGAAATTCGTTAACTAATTCATAATGAAATTTATTTAAATGAATCGTATGAAATTTGCTACGATTTGTTATAACAAAATTCATTTAAACGAATCTTAACGAAATTTGTTGAATGATTCATTATATGAATTTCATTTAAACAAATTGTAATGAATTTCGTTAACCGATTCATAACGAAATTCATTATAATAATTCGTTATCGAATTTTATTTAAATGAATCATAACGATATTCATTGAATGAATCGTAATGAATTTTGTTAACCAATTTGTAACAAAATTCGTTTAAATGAATCGTACAAAATTCGTTATAATGATTTGTTATACGATTTTGTTTAAACAAATTATAATAAATTTCGTTAACCAATTTGTAACAAAATTCATTTAAACAAATTGTAATAAATTTCATTAACCGATTCATAATGAAATTCGTTTAAATGAATCGTACAAAATTCGTTATAACGATTTTTTAATGAATCATAATGAAATTTTGTTAACTGATTCGTAATGAATTTCATTTAAATGAATTATAATGAATTTGTTAACTGATTTGTAACGTAATTTCGTTTAATGATTCTTTAACAAAATTCATTATAATGAATCGTAATGAATTTCGTTAATATTCATTTAAGCAAATTTCATTATAATCACTTAATGAAATTCATTTTAATTCGTTTAAATAAAATTTATATAATGAATGATTATAACGAATTTTATACGATTCGTTTAAATGAAATCGTATAATGAATTTCATTACGGATTGTTAACAAATCTTAACGAGACTTATTAGCGAATTGTTACTAATCAGTAAATTCTAATTGAATAATAATTATCAATCGGACATTAAACTGATTGATAACTAATTATTAATTAAAACCGATTTGTTACTATTTAACATATAGTTATAAATTTTTAAAATAAGTATAAAATCAGGTTGGAATCCAATTTATGTAATTCTACCTAATAATTATGATTATGGTATTAATCGATTCATATCTGATTGTAGTATCTACTGATTTCTATCTATTGATTGCTAAACAAAAAATAGTGACCAATCAGAAAGGTATCTGATTTATCAGCGTTTGACCTGTGATAACTGTAACTATTAGTATCCCTAGTTATGAAGAATTAAATGTAGTTGATTATAAAATATGAAGCGATATTAAATAAAATCACTCATTTTTTTTCTGTTTTAGACTTTATATTATTATTAGAAATAAGACTTTTTACATAAAATTGTTTATATTACTTTATTATTAAAAGTAATTTTTTTATTATCAGATTTTACATTTTAAAAAATCACACTTCTTATAGGTATCTAAAATTTTTTGAAATTATTTTACTTAAGTATACAAACTTAGGGTTTAGAAACTTAAAGAATTTATTTATTCTTAGTGATAATCTCATAAGTAAGTTTAATATAGTAGTTTATAATCAAATCCTAGATAAGGTATATATATAAAAAAAAGTAATTATATTTTAATGCTAATTCCTTTATTAATTACTTGAAACTTATAAAAGAGTTATTTATAATTTTAACAAATTATTCTATTTATACAAATTTAATTTGTTATTTCTAACTAATTATTATATTATAAACTAATTAAATTTGTAAAAATAAGTGCTAAGATATAAGATATAATAAATGTAATAAAGAAAAATACATATATAAGAAAATAAATATATGATAATTATAAAAATAATATAATAATAGGAGAATATAAAAAATGAATAAAATTTGAAATCTAATGAATTCATAAAATCAAGAAAAGAAAATTTTGTAATAATTATATATTCTTTTATATATGTGTAAAAATATATTAATTTATATATAAAATAAATATTATAACTATACATCATTTTTCTAGATAACTAAGAAAATTAACATCAAATAAATATTGTTATATTGAAAAATTATAAATTCTAATCATTTTTTATAGCTAACATAATTAAATTTACTTGAAAGAAAATATCCTAAACCTGGAATTAATAAATATATATATCAAATAAAATTTATATATTATATAATATGAATAATAAATCTTATTTTGATTAAAAGAATCCTATAATGTGATTTAATAATTTAGTTTTTATATTATAATGATGAGATATTTTTAAAAAAAATACATTAATATTATATAATATAATTTGTCAAAATAGTATTACAAATTTATGTATTCAAATATTATAATTAATATTATAAGTAAAGATAATACATCAACTGTTTTCAAATAGTTGCAGTATTATAGCTTATATAAAAAACATAGAGTTGTGATTGCAAGTTGCAGGTTACAAGTTTCAATTAGTAAAATCTAGTTACAATATTATTTTTAATTATAAAAAATATAAAAATTAATAATGTATTATAGTTTGCTATAAAAATTGAGTTACAGATTATATGACTTAAAATATTTCATATTACAATTTTAATAATAAACAATCCATATATTCATATTACTTATAAACTAATTTTTATATTTACTAATATTCTAACATTATTTAATATTTTATAAATTTGTTAAATTCTTCATATTTAATTACTTAATTCTGATAAAAACTAGCAATATATAATTCTTTGAAAATTTATATTCTATTATATATTTATAATAAATAACTAATTTTTAGATTACTTTATATTTTATTTTATATAATTTTAGTATTATAGACAGATAAATGTTACGTTTATATGTAATGCAAATGGAATGCAAATGATTGAATCTACATATATGATATAATTGATATATTAGACATAGTTGATTAATTAAATATAGTGGACATATTAAATATATTTGTTATATATTATAAATTAGACATATATAATATATTAGTTTTATCTTTCTATATAATATATTTTATATAAATAGGTAGCTTTTTAGAGTTTCTAGTAGTTTTAAGAGGCAAACAGACCTATTGTATTACACTTTAGTTTAGTGATTTATTTCTTTATTTTCATTTCTTTTCTTTGTCATTTCTTTTATTTTCTTTATTTTCTATTTTCTTAACTCATGAATAAACATATTATTTTGAAATATAATTACTTGGTAAACCTATGAAATGAATCACTATCTGTGAAACATTTGTATAAACATCTCTTTGGAAATTAGTCATATAGTGAACTTGTAAAATGTTAAGATTACTACACAATTAAAAAGAATCAACACTCTGACATCCCATCTAACAGTTGTAGTATACAAGAATTACACGTTAACAGTATACAAGTTCTTAAATAATTTGACTGATAATTTCTTATTCAAATAATTAATTTTTATTAATTATGTATTTTATTACATTAAGATAATTTATAATTTCATTTTATTGGTTACATAACTTTACTGTTTTTCATTATTAATTGAAATGATCTCTTTAAATATAAATTACAGAAATTTTAATATTTAATAAATATTTAACATTATCAAAAGGTTAAATTTACATAAATAAATCATAAATAAATAAAATCATATCATATCATTCATTTCGATACTTCCTTTTGTTCTTCCTCCTCATCACTATCATAAGGACAGATTTTTTGACCTTCTTGAATTTGTTTCTAAAAATAAAAAAATTATTATTAAATAAATTCATCAACCGGAAAATTAGAATTGATAAAAACTTACTAAATAATGGTCTACATTACGCTTCATTATATTTTCATTTAATTGAATATATTCGTATTTAGGATTAAGTATAGCCGTACATATAGCTATGATATAAGCTACTTGTATTTGTGGTGGTAACTTTCCTGATTTTTTTGGAAAAACTTTCTCAACAATACATGAAAATATTAATTGCGTATTATTATCCATTGTTTGAAAAAGTTTTCGATAACAGGCAGCGACTTCGGGTTTTTGTTTCCATTCTGTTATCTCTGAGGGACTTGCGGAAGTATTAATAAAAGGCAAAGAACTTTCGCCAAAAGTCGAAAACATGGCCTCCTTAATTTTGGTGGTTAAGGTACCGCGTAAGGAACGTTGCTGTTTTAACAACTTCAATATATATTTATATGTATGTATAGCATTTAGCATTATCTATTACCGCTAATTAACAAATTGAGGAAAGCAAACTTACGTCCTGGTGAATGTTTTCATTATAAAATGCAATCCAACGAATGTCTGTGAAGTTATTATAAAATTCTGAATGATGAATCTTTAAATAGGATTCCATAGCCTCACGTAGATATTCTTTCGTAGGGTATATTGATACCATAATAACTAATTTAGCAACATTTTTTATCACATTCTAAAAAGAAGAAGAATTAGCATACACAAGATAAAAAAAAATTATGTATAAAAAAATTATATGCTCACTTTTAAAAAAGCGGTATTTTCAGAATTTTTTAAGGAAGTTTTTAATTCCGATTTGATTTTTTCTTCCAAACATGAAACTTTATTATATAGTATATCGAGTTTTTCACTTGTTCTTTTATTTTCGTTTAAAAGAGCATGATAATTTTCATTCGTCTTTTTATTTTCATTTAAAAGAACATCAAATTTTTCATTCATTCTTTTATTTTCATTTAAAAGAATGTTGATCTTTTCGCTTAAATTTCCTGTTCGTTCTAATATAATAGAATTTTTTTTCAAAACATGTCGAAATCAATTTAATTGATGTGACGAACATATAAAGTTTACATATTTATCACCTTCATTATTTTGACCTTGTTCAATATTAATATCATCAGTTCTAATACGTTTCTGAGGATTTGTATCTTCGTTGTTTTCATTCCCGTTCCCTTTATTTACAATTAATTTTTGGATCCTTTTACGATATTGAGCTTTCCTTTTACGTTCTGCTACATTTTATTTTGAAATTAAAAATGAAGGATATAAAACGATTTCAATAAAAAATTTTAAAAAAAATAAGAATTTTTCAAAAAAAAAAAAAAAAAATTGTCATTTATATCTAAAATCGCATAATTTGCATAATTCGCATTAAAGAGAGTATAAATAATTCTCGTTTTGTGATAATTTACAGAATTTTTTTTTTTTTTTTTTTTTTACCTTTTTCATGATTTTCGGACATTATAAAATATGAGAATATAAAATTGCTTTTTTTTTTTCCCAAAGATTTTATAGTATAGCGCGAGTCGATCATTTCTTTATATTTGTATTGTTTACCATACCAATTTGTAGATCATTTTCGATAAGCGTTTCATGCAAGTTAAATTAATATTTATTATTAAAAAACACGAAAACAAAGGTTTGAAACAACTTCTTTCTAAACAAAATTTAATTTTATTAAATTGAGCGAGGTAAGGGTTTGATAAATCATTCAAGTAAATTATCAGGAAATAAAATGGTTCAGTTCAATATTTGTGGATTAAAACAGTAATGCCGGATTTACATTCTGCTTGCATAAACTTAACCTATATCGGAAAGTACAACTAAGCGTCCGTAAGGTTTGAATTATCCTGTATTATAATTTCGAAACTTATGAAACTTATGCAAAATTTGAAGCAGTAATAGCAAGTGATACATTGATACAGTGTGCCGCCAAATATCGTAACGCGTTATTTCTGCAACGAATATTTCGACAATAAAAGAGACGCGTTTTGCAGAAAATAAATCAACTTGGATATATTCGACCGAATGAAGAAAATTAAAGACATTAAACTTATTAACTAATAATTTTATGCTTAAAAAATATATTGTCGAATCACATGATTTGTGAAACCTGAATGTTGAAGAATTACATCGTCCTGACCTCCTTATTACATTTGCAAAAATACAATTTTTTTGTTAAAAAATAAACAGAAATGTAACCACTTGCGAAATAGTCTATTCGGCCATTTTTCATCTCGACGAGTTCTCGTCTTGCAAAAAAAAATAAATAAAAATAAATTTTGTTAATAATACAAAATTGAGAAAATTTTTCGATTTGAATTTTTCCTATCCATCCCAAATCAATATAGTGAATCGTCGCTCATTTATTGATTGGTAGATATCACGTGAAAGAATTTTGAGGCGCACGACAAATTCAAATTTAAAAAATCCGAATTCTAAGATTAAAATGGTCTGGAAAATATTTGGTAATTAAAATTATGTTTATTTTATTTTCGATTCAAAGTATTCAAAATTTTTATAATGTTTCCTAATGCTTAAAATAAATTTAAATATAATGCAAACGCGTCATTAAATGTAGAACGTCATAAAAAGTTATTTTTTTTATTATTTAAAATAAAAGAATTGATACAACTGATGCCCTCGAAAAAAAGTTATTTTCCTATCAATTTTTATTCACCCGAAGTAAAAGAACACCTACGCCTATTTTCTAAGAGTTATTATGCTATTGCTATTTTTTTTTGGCAATTAAAATGTAGTTCTCCAACAATTAAATAAAAGCTAGTGCTACTTTAAAAAGAATTGAGATAATTTTGTAAATTATTATTATCCTTGCAAAGTTTTTCATTGTATTTTAGAATGTGTTGATTAGAATCATGATTCATAAAAATGTGCGGATTGAATGTATTTTCATCTGAATGAACAAAAGTTAAATAAAAATGTTGTTAGAATTATTTTCATTAAATTCTGTAACGTAAATTGAAATAAAGTATCAAATCGATGAGCTTACCTAAAAAAAAAAAAAAAAGGTAAATTCATTATTCACCAATATCAGAAATGGTTTTATCACTTTCTTCTTCGCTTTCCTTTATAACCACCTTCCTTCGTTTGACCTTCCAGTATAAGTAATCTTCTAGGTACTGCTCATTGAAGTCATATATCTTTGAGATGGTATTCCATTTTGAATCGCTTAGTAAATAAAACTCTCGGGTGGATATTTGACAGTTTTTGTAAGCTTCATTGATCCCGATTAATCTGGGGCAATTAAACAAGTGATGTATTCTAAGGGTCTTTTTTATTATTTGGTAGCTATGGCTTAAATCTATGTCGTTCATTAATTTTTGGGTAACTTTTTTACTACCCTCTTCTTCGTATCTTTTTTTGTATTGTGTCATTATGTAATAAAATCGGAACGAGTGTTGATATTTGATGTATAGGTTCTTTTCTTCCTTACTTTGAATAGATTGGACGATGTCATTGATAACCGTCCTACGATGTGAGTCATTATCCATATCTATGTTTACTTGAAATTTTCGTTTGTTGTCGAAATAGTCCTTCTTCATTCCTGATAGTTTTTCTACTTCTCGAGTAAATTTGTTATATAACTTTTCTTGTTCGTCCATTTTATGTAAAATGTAGAGGAGTTGTAATAATCGTTATCTTGGAAGAGAAATACAAATGTTGGGATAATGTTATGTCTAAGGAAATTGTAATTGTTGAAAGTAAGGGACAATGCGATGTCAAAGGGGAATGTTGAGAAGAAAGAGATAATGTGATGTCAAAAGAAAATGCAAATGTTGAACGTAAGGGATGTCAAAGGAAAATGGAATTGTGTTGAAAAGTAAGGGATAATGTGTGATGTTAAAAAAATATGTAATTGTTGAAAGTAAGAGATGATATATTTATCGGAAGGAAGAATAGGTAAGGATCAAATCAATCAAATCTACGGTCTTTAAATAGCTTTTTTTACAGTGACTTCAAATGATCTAGAACTTTTTTTCTTGATGATAATATCTTTAAATCAAGACAATCTATTCAATTGTTCTTGAGTTCTGTACAATGTGTAAGGAAGGAAGGGACCCAATCTTAGAACTATTTTGTGTATGGGAAATGCCCATTCGTGGTAATGCTTGCATAAAGAAACAAAGATTATGTAAAGGATAACGCCAACCCACCGTAGTTAAGCTGTCACAAAGCTCCGAGTTATTCCAAGAAACCTTAACCAGTTATTGAACAGGTCAAGCGATTAAAATATCTGCAATACAGTAACTTCTAAATTCAGCTCGGTTTGCTTTAATAAACCATGGCTAAAAATAAATCTGGAAAATCTTGGAATTTTTTTTTTCCAGTAAACAAAGGACGTGATGGTTATTAGCATTACGCTTTTTGGTCATACTGTTAACCGGCCGATTATTGTCTAAAATTGGCAGATCTTTGAACAAATTTACTAATTTGGGTCAACTGATCGTAATTGAAATAGCCCAAATAGCCCAAATAGGGTTTCCCAATGTCAATTTAATATTATCTACATATTATTATTATTATTATTATTATTATTAATTACGATTCTTAGGCTCAAATAAACAAGTCTGGCATCAAGTTTACCGACTCAAGGAGTAGTAAATTAAAGTCGGGAACACGATAAATTGTTGCATAATATAGAAACACAATAACCGGTTTTCGAAAATTGTGCGACTACGTAAGCGAACTAACCAAATCTGCCATTGTAAAAATTTTTTTCGTGACCTTGTTTACGGCGATGTTATATGCAATAAATTTGTTTATTTGGAAGAAGGCTCTATTAATTTTAACTTTGTAACATTTGCTATTCTGCTCCTAGTTTTGTATACATTGAAGTCTATTCCATTAATCCAAAAGTAGCAATACTTAAACGCATACGGATGGTTTCATTTATTTATCTTGCAGAATGCCATGCTTTGATGCAGAGAAATTATTTGTTCAACAATTATATCAATTTACTATTATTAAAATAAAAAAAAATTACACATGTCCGCAGAACTGATAAAGTTTGGAAATCTTTGATCTTGAGCAATCTGTTGGATTGAAAATTTTTTTTTTTAAGTGGTGGTGGAATGATGAATTTCTATTTGGTTCTTCATTTTATTTTAATTTTTTTTTCGTGTTACATTATTTTTTTTTTGACACATCATTTAAGGAGCTATTGATGCAAGTAGATCATCGATCATATGCAAAACCTTAAATCTTGCGTCATAAATTTTTCTCTTGTTAACAATGCCAAATGCATCTATCTCTTTGTGAAGTTTGATATCATTGAAACTTGACGAAGCTTCAAATTTACAGGATACTCGTCTTCAATACAAAAATTATTGACGAACTCGCCAGGAAATAATATCGATATACGAAAATGGTGAGTACGGTGTGTGATATCTGAAGGTAATGTTTGCTTGGTTGATTAATTAGTTACATCTTTTTCAATCGGATTTGTGTTAACCAAGATGTTTAGGTGTTTTTTATTTTGGAATTAGATTTAAAGATTGTATAATGAAGCTGTATGTTATCAATGAGGAGGAATCCACAAAATCAATTAAAAATTTACCATTGCGTTATTTAAATTTGATTGTTGAATTTTGGAATTTTTTATTCCTCGAACATATTCACAAAATTTGACATTTCGTGAAAGATATTTAACTAAAAGAGCTTGTTATCCCTTCATTTTATTATCAACAAATAGCTCTTTGCGACATCATGTTTGGACATTGATTAGCAAGTTTCAATAGCTTAAAATTTTTACATTTAGGTCTCGCTTAGGTCTCGGAATCAAATCTCGGAAAGTCTGCCAAAATCGGAAATTCGTCAAATCAATTTTATGTCTAAAACTTGGCGAAATCGTTTAGCTTAACGACTTTAGATCGATCTTCATTTATTCGACAAAAAATTGATTAACTTGACTTGTAAAAGAAACGATAAATCTACAACATCACATGTACAACGACATAAACTTGATGCTTTGGCGGCAGTAAGGATTTTGACTGATGAAAATTTTGATCTTTGAGAGAAAATTTAAGAGTATGAAAAAGATTATTTAACAGCAATGTGTTTTTTGTGTTGACCATTATAATATTAACAATCTTAATTTCTTTTGAATTTACCAAGCAATTTAGAAAAAGTCTCTTTCTCTTCTTGTAATACCAAAGGAATCCTTATACATAGCAAAAGTTCTTTACCATTTCTTCAGTTTAATTTGATACAAGTCCAACATACACCTTTCATTTGCGAAGCGAGAATTGAAATAATTTTCAAAATTCGATTTTTCTTATTCGATTCCGATTTCGATCTTTGAAACTATTCCAATCCCCATTCTAGTCACTTGTACATTTTTATCATTATTGAATTACAAAGCGAAGTGAATTATGGAATTAGGTGCTTGTTAAACTGGGATATAATATTCAAATATTGAAATCAAAGTTGTATGTATTGGACAAAATCACGACTCTGTAATGATCTAGTAATTTGTAATTTGGAAATTAATAAAGCTGGTAAGCGTTCCTAGGAAAAATTTCTTTAGAATTGTCTTCAAAAACGAATAACTTTTCGACTTATTAACGTAGAATATCTCTATGATGCTAATATTAATAGATCACAAGTAATAATTAAAGAAACAGATGCCTTTATTAAGGTAATGTCCTTTGAAATCTTGTTTATAATGAATTTACTTTGTTTTCTAATAATTATTTGAATTTTTTTTTTAATAAAAAAAGGAATCACCCTCTTCGAATCGACTATTTATGATGGTGGTACGAGAATTAGTGATTGTTTCATGTAAAGCAAATGACCAAAATTATGTTATCTAGGCATTACACGCTCTTTTATAATGGCTTGCTACTACCAGAATTATTCTACAAAACCAAGTCGTATATACATAATTGCCAATTGTGTCTAATTTTAAATTATTTGGTATTCCTGATCAAGTTTATCACGTGAAAATAAGGAAAATTTTTTCTTTTTTTGGCGCAAAATATACTGTACGTATTAATGGTTTTCAATACATTTGTTCACTAAATTTTTTTTGTTGAGTGATCTAGGAATGATCAATACGGTACTTTATGAACTTCCGACTACATATTTATGACAATTTTAATATAAATTTTTATTTAGAAATACCCAATGGATGTAAATTGATGAGACTACTACATACGATACGGTATAATAATAATTTACATCCAATATTTTTTTGATTTTGATTCCATATGTAGCCGAGTATATCACATAATAAATCCTAATTAATCGATTTAATGCCGACACCTTTGCAATAGAAAGGGGGGAAACTGCCGGAAAATCATATTTGGTATATAAAAGTAAAATTGATTTTGCCCGGCAGTTTCCCCCCTTTCTATTGCAAAGGACCCATATATTTAACCAGAGCAAGATATATAAATCTTAATTCTGGCCGAAATCTTAATTTTGGCTTGAATTAAGATCAAAGTTAAATATCTTAACGGATAATAAACCGGTAAAGTATTTGTAATTTCATCCCTGTTTGCCCAAAAAGTTTTTCTATAAACATTGTTGTAACAGATATAATTAAATTTATTATGAGATGTGTACCCCTTTTGTATTAAAAACAATGATTTTGGATTAATTGATAGTGTAATAAATCTTAGTTTCGATATTAATAATAGTTTAATCATTTCATAACCGGGATTGTATAATCTTTAAAAAACAAATATTTATTACTTTTAATTAACCTCGGTAAAATAATTTAAACCATAAATTCAAGAATAAACATTTTATTAAATTTAAAAAATAACGATAACAATCTCACAATATATTTTCTTCAAATTACTTCACAAATTATTTTCCCAAGCACTAGAAAAAGTAATAATAAAAATTCAAAAATTATATACGATACGCTCGGCAAAAATATAAATATATAATAAACTTACAGCTATAGCTTCGGGTTGATATCTGTGACCAAATACTTCAATAGAATTAATGACCTTACGAATTTCAGATAATTCCTCAGGAGAAAGGTGAACTTTAGCTGCGTCAACATTCTCTTTTAAATATTCAGTCTTCCTTGTACCTGGAATAGTAACAATGTTATCTCCCTAAATAAAGATATGTAGAGTATAATTTTATCTTAAAGGAAGACAACTAGGACAAAAAAAAAAAAATTCAAATAATATTTGAAAAAAGTGGATACCTGAGCTAACACCCAGGCTAAACAAAGTTGACTTGACGTGATACCCTTCTTGTTGGCGAATTCCTGAAATTTTTTAACAATTTCCATATTTTTGTTAAAATTATCACGCATGAAACGTGGACTCGACCTTCTATAATCATTCTGTTCAAAACAATCAATTGACTTATATTTTCCGGTCAAAAATCCACGACCGAGCGGACTATAAGCCACAATTTTAACACCTAGTTCGCGACATGCTTCCATAATACCATTTGTCTCAATGTCAAGTGTCCATAGGCTATATTCAATCTGTAGAGCGGCTATTGGATAAATTTTGCAAGCGCGTCGAAGTGTTTCTACAGAACATTCCGAGAGTCCAATGTATTTCACTTTGCCTTCGTTCACGAGTTCCGCCATAGCGGCAACGGTTTCCTCAATGGGACTTTTTTTTAAATAAATTCATAAACATTTGAATTATTTTTTTTTAGAATTATTTACGTTAAGATTATACTTACGTATTTGGGTCTACACGTATTTGATAGTAAAGATCAAAATAATCTATCCCAAGCCTTCTCAAAGATTGTTCGCAAGCCTGACGAACAAATTCACGATCGCCTCTTATACCTGTAATTTCTCCTTCAGGAGTTCGAATGACACCGAATTTGGTGCAGAGAAATATTTCGTTACGACGTTCCTTAAGAACTTTTGACAAAAGGATCTCATTAGCTCCATTTCCATACATATCCTAAAGCCACAATGAAACGCATAAAATAAATTTAGAAAAAAAATTTTTTTTCTTTTATCAAAAATAAATACAAATTACCGCAGTATCCCAAAAGTAGCTTCCTAATTCGATTGATTTGTTCAATACATTGATATTTTCTTTCTCGTCAGATTTCCCATAAAAATCGCTCATTCCCTATATGAATTTTGTTAAATGTAAAGTATTTAATATCGGGAAAATTTTTTTGAGCAGTAGATTTGATATCATTAGTTACGCACCATACATCCTAAACCAATTGACGGAATTTTGACTCCAGTTTTACCCAATTCACGAGTTGGAAGTGGCATTTTTTTTTTAACTTTTTACGCGAGATAATTTTGATAAAAGTAACAAACGTTTCATAACGGAACAAAAAGTGTACACTGTGAGGACGTTATTTTATAATTATTTTTATTATTTACCATTATGGTTTCCTAAATGTACATTCCTTATGTGGCACAGAAGATCAAACTGAATTTATAATGTAACTTATTAAATTGTAAGGTCATGCGATGCTACAACACAAAAGTTTTATTTTTTGTTTTAACCAAATAAAATTACAAATAGCGCGATTTTTTATCTTCAGGGTGACTAAAAGCGTAATTCTTTTTTGCATAACTTCAAAAAACTAAAAAACAATTACGATTTGCAAATAATTCGAAGAAACAATAAATATTCAAACGATCATATGCAAAAACATCTTCGCCACCATTCCAAGAATATATATATCATTAGTTATTGTTGCGAATTTTTTTTTTAATATTTTGCAAAATGGTATTTCCTGAATTCACAAGCTAATTCACATGAATTATAATATAAATATTTGTGCTACGTGAATCACAATAGTTATCGGAATAATGCAATCAATGAAAAAAATGCAGTTATTTGCTGCCAATAGATATTTTAATTGAATTCGATTTGATAAATCAATTCAATTTTGTAGTTGTAATTGTTAAAGTTATAATGAAAGATCTAATTTTCTTTTAAAATATCATAAATAATAACATTTTGGAATTTTCAAGTTCCCATTGTTAATTTTCAGCCCTCGATAATCATTCCTTTTTTTAGACATGGTTTTTCTTGGCAAAAATCATGCCAAATTAAGAAATTTCGAACAGAACAATCAAGTGAAAATCGTTTTTGATGAATCTTATCCATTATTTTGGCCGGCATTATAGAAATTAAACATGTGACAAATAAGGTGATCCGAATTTTTTTGCAGATCATAAAAAATCTCGTGACTTTATCCAATTAAAATCATATTGAGAGTTTCATGACAATTATACAGGAACTTTTCCAGTAAAATCAAGTCATGAGGCATAGTAAATCATATGATCCGTAATGTGATTTTACTGGAAACACTTCATATAGTTTACCATTTTTGTTATATCTTTTGTTAGATCGAAACATACATGTAAATGTGTAAAACATAAACTTTAAAATAAAATAAAAATCTATTATCATCATTTTATGTAAGTATATTCATTTTATAGACAAAATTAATGTCATATTCTATAAAAAAATTGACAATTATTAAATGTTTAAAACTTATAATTTCTAATCAACTAAAGATATGAAACTATAAATTTTATTTTCTATTATCTATACTATTATTATTACAGATTTTTTTTTATATCTGTAAAGCAAAAGTTTAGGATTTTGAAGTTAAATGATTTTATTTTTATTTATAAATGATTGCATCATAGTAAAAATGAAAAAGTAGTATATAATATAGTATAACAAATTTCTAAGATTATATAAAGTAAAATGTTTTAGTGATGATACTAGAAATAATACAAAATTTTTCACTTTTACTTTTCCATTTTTATTAAGTATTATGAAGACTTGGAATTTTTTCAGAATAAAATCATATATGTCATGTAAAGATAAAATATATTGTAGTAATATTGTATTAAATTTTTTATAAAACTTTTCTAACATTATCATCAGATTATGTAACTTATATAATAATCAATTCATACTAATAATTTAATCTGAAAACATTTTTTAAGAATGTAAAATCCTATATTTTATTTATTATTTGTTATAATTGTTATTAAAGTTGCTTGTCTAAACTCATTTTAGATTTAATTAAACATTTAAACCTTAGTTTCACTAAATTTTTATTAAATTCTTAATATTATTTTACCATTTTTATAAGCTTTAATATGATTTTATCTTTTTATAAATTTTGAGACTATTTAATAAGGTTTTAATATAAATTAACCAAGTTTTACCTTTACCATTTAGACATCTAGCTAAATCTTAGATTTTAATTTAACAACCTTAGATATAACCCTTATACATAAAGACAAAATAAACCTAAAGTCAAAATATTTTAACTTTGAAGATAAAAGTTAAAATGAAAGTTTAAGTGATCAAAATGATATCATATCACATTTTTCATATATAAAAAATCTAAATAAACAAAAAAATATAATTTGATCAATATTGTTTTAATTCTTATAATACAATTACTATTAGATTCCTTATGATTAAATAAATCTAATGAATTAAATTACATTAATAATAGATCTATTAATCTTGAGATAATCACAATCAAATTTTAAGAATCTGAACTTTTTATTTAAATAAAATTTATTAAATTATAATTTAGTCAAATATTCATTTCTGTAATTAATATATTCAATTACTAAGTTTATTTTTTTTGTTTTATTTAGCTTAGCAGATTTTTTTGTAATATGAGTGTCAAAAAATTTAAGTTCTTCTTAATAGCTGCTATTCTATATATAAGAAAATTGAAATTATTATATATTTCAGCTAGATAATCATTTATTATTTTTATTTGCATTAGAATTTAATCAAAATTTTCTGATTGAAAATTGTTTGGGTTATTATAGTTATTAGAAACTGTATTATTAGTACATGTTTTTTAGTCTGATCAATTCAAGTTTTATATATATACAGTTAACTTTTTCTATAGCAAATTTTGATATAACTAAAGATTGTGTAGCAATTAATTTCAAATTTACAACTTGTTATAATATAAGTTAAAATTAGTTGCAATAAACATATATTGCAATAGTATAAGTTATAATATATATATAACGTATATTGCAAAATTAAAAATTACAACATATTAATTACAATTATTATCTTTAGATATAATAAATTTTACAATATAACAGATTTTTACTATGATACAGATTTTTAAATATAAAAAATCTTGTTATAAATAAATGCATTATACAAAGGATATTTATATAATTTATGTTCACATACTTTAATTCGTTAAATATAATACAAATTTTAGTTTACTAAATTTCTAAATTTGATATAACAAGTTTTTTTTTAATATAACAAAGATTTATAAAAATGAATTTTAATAGAAAAATAAACTTTGTATATAAAATTTTATAATTTGTATATTAATAAAATTAATGAAAATATTTATATAATATATTACTATTTTTTTAAATGTTTTTTGTTTCATATATTTTGCAATTTTTTTATATTTATTTTTTTAATATAAGAATGCTGAAAGTAAGCTCAAAAAAATAAAAGGAACCTAGTAATGAACTTTTAAAAAAATGAAAGTCTCTTATTGCTGCATAAAAAAGAGATTTGTTTAAAAAGCTTCATTCTCGTTATTCTCATTATTTAAACAGAAAGACTTAAAAAAACTTAGCAAATAAATATGAAGTTAATGAGGGTATGATTAGTAGCATTTTTTTAAAAAAAGACTACTGGCTTGCTATAAATACTGAATTATATAAATAAAGATAATTTCTATAATTATTTTTAAATTTTATTTGAGTTGCAACCTAATTACAACATTAATAAATTTAATTGTAACATATATTACAATATAATTACAATATTTTTTAGTAAATAAATGCTATCTTCACATATAAAACTGGTATAGTTGCTTGATGAAACCTCAGAGTATTGACAACTGTCGAATGTCGAAACCTATTTAGACGTTTTGACTTTTATTTTTAAAAGTCGAAACTGTCGAAAGGTTTAGACAATGTCGAAAGGTTAAATAATGTTGAAAGGTTTAGACATTGTTAAAAGTATAGTTGTCTAACAAACTTTAAGGTTTTGACAATTTTCAAA